GGGAGAGGATGGCGACAAATTCGGTTTGCTTGATAATGCAGGGGAATGGGGAAGCTTTGCTATAGGTGCACTTTGAGGAGCACTTTCAGACTGCAATAGACCATTCGGCAATCGCCTTACAGGAATACCAATTGGTGGCGACAACGAGGGTGAAGGGGAAAAGACAGGAGAAGGATAATATTCATCATAATTCACATTATCTTTATGTCCCATAGCCATTTCAGCTGGTTGTGGAGGTAAGCTCGAAGGAGGCAAGCGGCAAAAGGCTGGATTCGAAACTAAAGCATGAGATTCTGAATACGTTGGCGAAGGTGAAAAGGAGACCGAAGGTGGGGAGGGTCTAAAGTGGTCATAACTCCAACTATGACGTCTCGAGAATTGTAACGACGATGGAGATCCATGGGATGGGGCTATCGATACAGGGAGTGTTGGAAACCTTTTCAATGGATCTGTCAATGGGCTCCCAACATATTCAGGAATAACTTGAGGCGACATAGGAGTTGATGGTTCAGAGCTTATATCAGAAAGGGATGCACGGTACAACACAGAGAGACAGAGTCTACCACAAGAAGTGTCCACAGGAGTGAACACGAAACGCTGCATTTCGGCCTCTTCTCTTCGAGTGAAAGGCTCAACAAAGGACGATACACGATGAACAAGTGTAAATGGGTGAATTTGACCAGATGAACTGATATCTTGAAAAACCTTATAAGCAGGTAAAAGCCTCACAAAGGCATATAAAGATCTTAAGAGTAAAATGGTTTTCTTGTAAGTGTGTGCAGTGCTATTACTAGACCTTCTGCAGCCAGAATTAGTATCCCGGTTCTTCCTACTTTCATAATGAACCATCCATCTCTCTACAACCTTCTCACTCTTGGTTTGACATCCAAACTCTTCCTTATCAGAATTCAAAGAAAATGGATGTTTGTCTTTCAAAGACAAGTTCCTAACAAGATCTTTCCTAGGAGAAGCATTCACAGAGTCTAAACCAAATTCCCTTTGCACCAAAATAACATCTATGACCATGGGTTCGTGATAGCTAGGACGCCAGAGGTCAATATTCTCTAACGTAGCAGAGCATTCACGAAGGGCCAAATTGAACCACTTATCCCTCGGCCTCATACTCGAAGAGGAGGAGGAGGAGGAAGATGGAGAACACAAAACTTGATCACCACTGAAATTACGCGATGAAATACAAGGGGACCTCGATTCAAGTATGATTTGTAGCGTTTTAGGGAAGAATTCAGTAAGAATTTGCTCAACTTTTGCAGTCTCGGAATGAGTATTATGAGAAGAAGCCATATGAAGAACAGAAATCGAGTAAAATTGAAACGAACCCTTTACCGGAAACCCCAATTGGAGCGTTTGGAGACCCAGTTAACTGCGATTCACTGCAACACGATAAAGATCATCGATGTGGGGAAGATGAGATCAGTGAAGAAACCCGGTTCGAGAAAGAAGGAAAAAGTGCTGAAATTCGAATTATCCAAGAAGGAAAAAGCAACATAAAAGAAGAAGAAATTGAAGAAGGTAGCGTACGTATATGGTGTGATGACGAACTTAAATTTTAAAGTTGGAAGGCCGAAAGAAAGCGATTCGAGAGAGACCAAGCGTGGATCCACCGTTGAGCACTGTACGATTAACGAAGGGGAAGGGGTTGGACTATCTGGTTTTGAATGCCATCGCCACCCTTTTCCTTCCCAATTACAAAATTTTTTAGAATTTAATTACTTCCTAATCTTCAAGTTTTTCCTTTTAATGATGTCTACAAAATTATTCTTTTAATGACTTTTTCGTGTAAATAAAAAAAAAAAAAACCATAATATTTTGATGTATTATATATTTTATGTCGATTGACTTAGTTTTGTATTGACGTTTATTAGTTTGGAAATATTCATTTAACCGGTGAATATGGGTCTCATGGGGATCCGCTCCAAACATAGTGGAAATTTCTATTTAAACGAGGAATGAGGAGATGGTGGAAAGAGATTTTTTTTCCGCAACTAAGAATCTTCGTCCACTCATGTTTTATATATAAATATTAATATATGTATGTATAAATATACCAAAATTACCGTTCAAAACTAACCTATTATATGTATATTTATATATGAAACATTAGGTTATAATATTTTACTTTTTTATTTAATAAGAATTATATTAAAATTTTAAAATTATCAATTAAAAAAGTATTTAAAATTAATATTAAAGAATCTGTTTCTACGAGTTGTCTATCGATAATTTCAGCTTAAATTCTAAAAAAGAAATTTAGAATATTTTATCTCAAATTTAGGGACTAAAAAATATTTAATGATCTCGGTGGCTTTAAATGGGCCTGGGCCTTAAAAGGGAACCCATTTGGGCCCATAGAAGATATGTTTTCAGCTTTAAATGGGCCGGGGCCTTAAAAGGGAACCCGTTTGGGCCCATAGAAGATATGTTTTCAGCTTTAAATGGGCCTGGGCCTTAAAAGGCAACCAATTTGGGCCCATGAATATCTGTTTTCAGGATAGTTTTATTGTCAAAAAATAATTTTTAAAGTGTACTATAAAATAACAATATAACAATGTTCATAATCATCGCATATTTTAAACCCAATTATAAAATAGTGTCGTTAAAAAAATATAATCGTGGGGTAATTTTAATGATCATGCTTTAAGATAACTTTAAATTAAATATTTAATAATAAAATGCATGAAAATATTATCTACACAAAATGACAATACTATCAATGCTGCTTATCGAGAGTGGAATAAGTAACTGTAACAGCTTAACCCCACCGCTAGTAGATATTATTTGTTTTGGTCCGTTACATATCGTCGTTAGGCTCACGATTTTAAACACATCTACTAGGGAGAAGTTTCCTCTCCCCAATCGATTTCAGATCTCGTATCAATACTATTATGGAGAAGGCAACATAACTCACCTAAAAAAAAGTGTCTCGAGCTGAAAGAACCTATAAACTTATGATACTTGCATGATTTATAGCAAAACCGGTCTCATTCCCATATTTTAATAAAAAAATATAACTACTTAAAATTTAATAGGCCCTTTCCACATTAAAAACATATAATATCTAATCACAAAAGTGCAATACTTAATTTTTTATAACAATTAATATCTAAATAGATTCATTATAAAGTACCAAATTGATTTTTTTTAAAAATTATAAGCTTTCATAAAATGATCTAATATGTAACATTGCTTTAGTTTGAGCATAATGCTCGTTTTCGCGTGTCGACACTGGTATATCACTTTAATATGATAATATCAAATCCAAGCTTCAAAGATCTCATTATTTTTTTTTTAATTATTTCTTTTTAATCACTTTTCATAAAGTTTTTTTTTTTTTTTTTTTTTTAACGAGTTTTCTCAACCTCCCATGACTAGACATGTTATCTCTTTATATAACTCTCTAAGATTTTATGATCTCTTCGACGGTGACGAAGGGATTTATGTTTATAAAAAAATGTTATTAATATCTTAATCCGTTAAAGATTTCTGAACGTTTAAGCTCTTGATCGAGAATATATATCATAATGGTTCTTGAAGTTCGACAATCACAATAAGATATTTTTTAATAAAAGAAGGAATAAAGTTTTTCACAATGAAAGTCTAATCTTTAGGAGCAATTTTCATAAAGCACTTTCACACCCACCTCTTGGATTTTTTTTCCTGAGACCTTTAATTTTAGTTCGGATAATGTGATATTCGAGTTAAGGAGAAATACATAAACTAATTGAGACCCGTCCGAATGAAAGCGATATTGGGGATAGTATGACTAAGAAAGACTTAAAAAAATTAAAAATTATTTTCTATATCAACAAAGTACACATTTTTTTTCAGTGACTCAATCACAAACAATTCAAAATCTGCGTTTCCGTATTTAAATTTCTAAAATTGTAATTAATTTGGGATTTGAATAGAAAAATATCAACTTTTTTTTTTAAATATTAATAAAAAGAAAGCTGAAGAAATTGTTTATGTTGGATAGTTGGAATCTGCTGTAACGCTCTTTTATTCTTCAAATTAAGTATCACTATCAATCAAAAAAATTAATTTCAATATCATAAATAGTGTGCTTTTTTATTTTTTATTTTATTTTATGTCATTTAATTAATGGGTTAAAAGAAAGCATATAAAATAAAAAGATCAAAGCTTATGGCATTTGAGCTGTTGCTCTAAAGGATGGCTGCAATTGGAACCCACTGCAATTAAATCTTTTTGTAACATTCTTCTACTTTTTTTTCTCGGGAGTCGATGATCCAAATTTCATTTTTACCTCGTTCTAAAAAACGAGGTCTCTCAAAGCCCGGCTCAAAGAGGCGTGTCAGGGTTGTCTTTAATAAAGAGGTCATATATTCGAACCCTCAAAAAATAAAAATAAAAATTTCGAAATTAATTTCCGAATTAGATAAAAATGAATAATACTTTCTTGCCTCACCTTTTAAATTTGTTTCTAGAATGTTCACGAACTTTAAAAAGTATCTAATTTGACCTGTTACGTATCACTATTAGCCTCATGATGCGAAGTTTCCCTCTCTAGATCTCACGATACAGAGAAGATATACATGAAGCACAGTGTTGAAATTTCAAAGATGTTTTTTTTTTTCTTTCTAATTTACACAAAATTATAATTTATACTCGGTCATATTCTTTAATTTGAAAGAATATGAACAATCTCGAATTCTCAAATTATAGGTATTTAAGACAAGAAGTTTATCAACTTAAGTCGTATCACTTTATTTAAATTTTATAGAATATCAGATTATAAATATTAAAAATATCAAAATTAAAACTTATGGTATAAAATTCTTTCTAATTTCAATAATCATTATATTAATGGATGAAAATTATATAAATAAAATATACTCCCAATTAAAATTTTGGATTTTCCAAGGCAAATGGTGTTTTTTTTCTAAATAAAAAATAAAATTTACAGTGAAGAAAGCTTTAAAAAATATATATATATATATATATAAAGACACGTCAGCTTTCTTCTTCCCCAATCCCCACAATCCATTAATTTGCCTTTGCTATATAAGGTTCTCTCATCATTCTCACAAATAATGAATTACAATTCCAAAACTCCAATCTTTAATCTTTCAACATTCTCCCCACATGTCTATCACTAATTCAAGGAGGCTTCTCCTTCCGGCCGTGACCGCCAGTCCGCCGGTGTCAGCGCAGCCGCGACCTGGGTTCGGGAGCTTCGACATGAACGTAGTGATGGTACTTTCAGTTCTCCTCTGTGCTCTAGTTTGCTCTCTGGGTCTCAACGCGCTCCTAAAATGCGCGTTGCGGTGTTCCAGTTTGTTGGCAACGATGTCGGGGGGACGTGGCGGTGGGATTTTCGCGGTGCATCCGAAAGGTGTTCGACGAAATGTCTTAAAGAAATTTCCGACGGTGGAATACCCAAAAGAGGGGAACAAATTAAGGGGAATCGATGGGGAATGCGTGATTTGTTTGTCGGAATTCGAGGGTGGGGATCGGGTTCGTGTATTGCCCATATGCTTCCATGGCTTCCATGTTCATTGCATTGATAAATGGCTGAGTTCCCATAATTCTTGCCCCAAGTGCCGCAATTGCCTCACTGACACTTGCCATAAGATCGCCTCTGGAGGCAGCCAGGAGGCGCCTGACGGCGAGTTCATCGCTATTGACCCGCCACCGCCGCCACCTCCGGGGGAGGAAGTGGTTGTGAATGTTGTTATTGCTCCGGTGGAACGGGAAGGTTTGGTATGCAACTATAGGTAAAGTAGTAGATGAGATTGAAGTGGTAAGTGGGGCTGTGGGGTTGGGCTTTTTTGTGATTGATGGAGCATTTTGGTTCTTTTTTGCTTTAGCTTACAAGTAAGCATCTTTTTTTTTTTTTTTAATTAATTAGAATTATTACAAGCCTAGCCAAGATTAGGGTACTAAATTCAAATGTAAATATCTTTCCTCTCACACTCTTTTCCCCTCAAATAAAAAGCTTTCGGTTATAATTCTCCGATCATTTAGCTCTAAATTTAAACTTTTGTCTTAACATTATTTTCATCTCCCACTCTTAAATTTATTTATAAAACTTTAATTTATTTCGGTCTAAAAAATTACAAATATTTTTTAATATTAAAATTTAAATTTTTAGAAATTATGTTAAATATTATATTATATTTTTGTTTACGAAATATTATCAAATTTATTAAAATATTTTACGTTTTTAAAACTACATTCAAAAACATAAAATTCTCATTAATTATATATATATATATATGTATAATAAGATAGGAAAAGATTCTCCTACCACAGAGAATATCTATCTGAAATAGGAGGAGAAGAAGAGGAAGTCGAAGAATTCTCTATTTCAATATTATGCAGATCTTTCGTACTCGTAACAAGTTCATTACCAGTATGATTATTAAATTTGAAAACTATTAAAAGGTCGATAATTAATCTTAAATAATGAAATCGTGCCACTTGATTAGCTCAATTCCCATCTAGAATTTGAATCTATCATAGGAAGAAGGAATGAAAGGAAGGCGAGAAAAAAGGAAGGCATGAGAGGAATGGGAATGGAAGGTGAGAGTGAAAAGCAAAACATAAATTGCACTGAAAAAGGGAGAATTTGGATGATAGAGTTCACATGTTAGTGTTTGTTAGAACACATATATAATATATCACATACACCAACCCAAATACCCCAATATATATATATATATAGAAGCATTGTACCATGTGCAAATGTTCCTTTGTCTTGGTGTCTTTGTGGAATGTTGTTGGTGATGTGTATCTCGAATGTCACCTCGACACATCCCTCCCAATCCCGACCTTTCTAGAAATTTTTTAAACTTGTTTATACTTCACTTGGTAATATTCTCACTCTTCCCTCGTGACATTTTCTATTTTCAATCATAATAAATAATAATAAACGTAAATACATTCTACCTTCTGAACTCAGCTTCATAATTTTAAAAATAAATATATATTATTTATAATATTATTTTCTGGTAAAAACTTTGTATCTTTCTCTCTCCTCTTCACCATGATCCCATCTCCGCCGGCGGCCGCTGCCCGCCGACTTTTCTTCCTTTTTTTTCCCTTCTTCTTGACTTCAGGAAGTTATTAGTGACCAAAGCTTCAATCCCAACGGACCCGCCGCCATCCGTGGACGAGCTGAATTCTGTTTGGGCGCCGTAGATCGGATGTGAAGAGGGCGGGGGTTGGCGGATGAGAAGATGGTGGACAGATGTAAAGGCCGCCGTCATTAAATTGCAGGAGTTTGGGGCACCATTTTTAAGAATCTGTCACCACCCCACCATCAAATCCTCAATGCATTATTAAACTGGACCTAACAAAGACACACTACCAAACCCACATCCTCCAATTAATCTTTGCTTCTAATTTACTTCTACCTTGCCTTCTTCCCCACTTTCCAACTCATATTTCTATATCATTTAAAAAAACAAAAAAAAAAATCATATTTTCTTGTTTCTTAAAGCAAAAAAGATTTTAACAATTTTCTCCTTTCCAACCTCTTTTGTTTTTCAAGGGCAAAATAGTCTTTTCATCTATTTGAGGGTTTAGGGTTAGAGATGTCCTTTTAACCTATAATTTGAAGTTGGGTAGGAAATTATGGAGTGAATGAGAAGAAATTTCTCTCTGTTAGCTAAACACGGGCAAGTGACATGGATTATATTCCCTGTCCCTATCCCCAATATGTTGGCTTATTAGCCCTTGATCTCACATTAATTAATTTCAATGAATTAATTATTGATGTTTTGATGATAACAAACCTACTTTTAATTATTAACTATTTTCAGTTTTTTGAATTGTCCACAGTATAAGGTCGGGAATAACGATTACAACAACTTTTCAATTACTCAAATCAGAGCTAAAACGAAGAAATTAGAGTCGAGACAACATACCCGACGTGATGATGTGGCAACAAAATCAAAATGATGGACAAATCAAAATATATCAAAGTATGACATTTATAATATTGGAAGAGTAACAAATGGTGGAGTTTTTTCTTATTATTACATTTCTAAATAAAATTATTTTCACAAAATATAAATTTGAATATAACCGTTACTCACATCGAATTTTATTATTACTATATTATATTATTATATTATTATATTTTAAAATTTTAGTAGTTACTCACATCATTTTTATTATTATTATATTATTATATTTATAATAAATTTTGAATTTCATTTGACCGTTACTCACATAACTTTTTATTATTATTATATTATATTACTATTATATTAAAATTTTGAAATAAATGAATTTAGAAAATTTTCTTATTTAATTACTTTTAATCTCCACCTTCCATTATTCCTAACACAATCCAATGGTCAATATTCAATCCTACATTTTGCCATTTTTCTCCTCTATATAAACTCATCTTCCCCACATTTTTAAAATACACAACTTACATACATTC